GAATTCCCAATACACCTCAATTTACCCTACTCTCCATATATATAAATTGTAGAGATGGAATTTCAGTCATGAATTCTATACGTTTATGATACGGTAGCCAAGTTTATGTACTGATAACATGTTACTGACTTTTTCCCCTTAAACATAAAGCCTAGTTACAGCCATATCTTTTCTTATTTTTTAATCTTTGATATAGTGAGGAGGACGTAAACTTTCTGTTGGATATCTGTCCTTTACTCCCACTGGGAGAATGTTCCTCATTTCCTGCCCCTGTGACACCTCTACAAGTAGTGGGGGTACAGTTGTCACATAGACAGGTATGGACAGCAGTAAAGCAGTGTCTGAAGTTCTTACCTTCCTCTCTAAGGAGTCCACTTTCTATCCTGACTGCAAATGAGAGGATAACTCCTCAGTAGGAACTCAGACAGGAATAAAAAGCTTACCAGGGGCTTTAACCCTGTCCTCAAAGGGTGTCCAGTGGTGACAAAATAGTAAATGATTGGTTTTTGCTTTACAATTATGCACCCTAGTATACCAGTTTGTGACTAAACAAGCAAGTATAGGTGAAGAAGATTGCTGTAAGCAAAAAAACAGTTGGGGAATTCAATAAAGATATAACAAACTTGTCTGGTGGTGATTTCCTTAAGAAATACCTGCACTAATTCCGGCAAGCATTTGTGACCAGCGTTAGTAACATTAAAGACACATGTGACAAATTCAGGTAGTTCTTACTACCACCACTTTAATAACCTGTGAAGTGTGCACGCCAGAAATTTTTTGTTTCGTTTCAGTTGCCTTTGCTAATTGAAGAATTTAGTTTCATCCTATTTGTTATATGAAACTAATGCAAAGATGCAAAACAAATTCCGAAAATGAATCTGTTCAACATATTTGTTGGTCCAGATGAATTTGAAAACCATATCAAAACTATTCAGAAGGATTTGATATTTTTGAACACAAAATAAAGTTAACAACCATGACTCACCTGCTGTCAGTGTGATTTCCCACTAACAGCAGAATGTAAACAGGTTTGGTATGGATTCTAAGGAGAACACCATGCCAAAATTAAAAAAAAAGACATGAAGTCCAGCAGGCTAGGAAAGGAAGGGGGGGGGGGGGGTAGCTCCCTGCCCCTCCTGAACATACCAGATAACATGCCCTCAACATTGGTGGTGCTTTGGGGGATGGAGATGAGGACAAGGGCCTCTTCCTCACAACCCTCACCTTTTTGTTTTGGGGGTGCAGGGGTAACTTATTGGAATCTGGAAGCCCCCTTTAACAAGGTGGCCCCCAGATCCCACCCCCCCATGTGAATGAGCATGGGGTACATACTACACCTACTCATTCACCGAAAAAAAAAAGTCAAAAGTAGAGAAAAACACAAAAGACAAGTCCCCCTATGTAAATCCAGCAGCAGTTACGATGAACGCCTACCCACACGGAAAAAAAAATCTCCTCCGCCCACTGAGCACGACTGGTCCTGTCATGAGACAGGTGGGATCTGGGGTCCTCTTTAAAGGGGGCTTTCAGATTCTGATAAGTCTCTCCCCACACCCCCATATCCACCTGGTCAGGGTTGTGAGGAAGAGGCCACTGTCCTCATCAACATGGGGGCAAGGTGTTTTGGGAGGGAGTCCCCTCCCCAAAGCACCCTCCCCATGCTGAGGGCATGTGATCTGATATGGTTCCTCCTTTTCTGGCCTGTTGGCTGCTTGCTTTTGATAAGGGTCTGGTATGGATTTTGGGGGGGCCGATGACAATTTTTTAAATAATTTTGATGTGGGTATTCACCTGAAATTCTATACCAGACCTAGGGGGTCTGGTAATAGATTTTGGGGGGGACCCCACACCATTTTTTTTATAATAGTTGGCATGGGGTTTATAATAGTTAGCCTGGTATGGATTGGGGGGCCCTCACACTGTTTTTTAACCGCTTCAATACAAGGAACTTTTACCCTCTTCCTGCTCAGGCCAATTTTCAGTTTGCAGCACTGTTGCACTTTTTTTTTTATTACATTTGTTTCTTTTTCTATGATTTTTTTTTTTTCTAACACACTGTGTCCAGAGTAATATAATCATTATCATAGTCATTATAATCATAATATTATCATTATCATAGTAACATTGTACTACTCTGAGGAAGTGATCAGCATTTTTTTTACACATTATAATTGCTTATAGCAATGAATTTTATTGCTATAAACAAGCATTTTACTGAATGAAATCATGGATACAATCAATGGATACAATATATAAACTGTATATTCACCGTGCAAATGTGATGTGAATATATATAAAATCTAACACCTGAAAAAGTACAAAACAAATCACTCACCTAAATAAATAAATGAGTATATAAAATGTGTAAGCATGCAGCTGCCCTAATAATGAATAATCCAATAATCACCTCATGAAACAATAACAATGACTTTTTTTTTTTTAATAAAGTCTGGTGACAAAACACTTGTCAGGTTCGAGCCACACAACTTATTCTGTAATGAGGCATCCACCTTACATCCCCCACCGGAAGTGACGTATTGCTCGTGAGCAGCAAGGAGGATCAAGTGAGACGCTCGCTCCATGTGATATACAAATACCCTTTATGGTTATTGTGGATATTTTGGCATGCTTTCATTTATTTTGTGTGAGTGCAATACATTATACCCAATAAATGTTTTTTAATGGATTCATGCTATGAGTTTCCTTTCACATCTTTCCCTGATTATGGAGTGTAATAGTTTGGAGGATGTCCCACCATCATATCAGTCTCTAATTGATGAAGGGCTTGTTTATTGATGAACTGTACTACACTTACACTCACCACAAGTGCTATTGCCTATCAGGTTTGAATGGGCCACGATAACTGGTGCGTACCACTGAATTGGGGGAGGTTTTCCTCTGGAGCATGTGGTGATATTTGAGTGCATTTTATTCAACCAATTATTGTTATGTTGTTCACATGGTGTCAGGAATGGACTCACCATTAGTGGTGGGACTCATCTGCCGTGTGGGCTGCAGTACCAGGGCTGGCCAGCGGGTGCTCTCAGCAACCAGAAGCTCACTCCTGCAATCAGCCATCACCTGTGGCTGATTGCAGGAGGTGTATTTAAGGAATGGCCAGACCTGCAGTCAGTGCCTTGGTGTATGTTTCCCATGAGCCCCTGTACCTGCATCCTGTCTGCTTCCTGCCTGATCCTGACTCTGACAGCTTTGATCCTGACTCTGAATGAACTCCGCCTGTCCTGACCTCGGCTATTCCTGACCACTCTTCCGCTCGCTCCTGGTACCCTGTTTGCCCGTTTACTACCGACCCGAGCCTGCCCGACTATGTTTGATTTGTATATATGGTTATCTGTTGGAGGTTGGGTTGTTTGCACTGTTATGTTTACCTTGCACTGCGTTTGTGTTGTTTAGTCTTAATAAATTGTCTTATTTACACTATACCTGAAGCCTGCGTTTCCCTGTGTCAGTCCACACACCTCTGGTCATACCCGGAGCGCTGACATTACACCAAGGCCATTCCTGACCAGAAGTGGCTACACAGGGAAGCCATCTTGGCTTGTTGTTGTGAAGGATGCATCCGGAGGAGGTTATATACTTGTATCTGCTAGTCTTAGATGACAGAGAATATGCCTATCAGACTCTGCAGGAGTATACCAGGGATTAGCTGCTAGAATGCATACGGGTCACTCATTCCCTAGTAGATCAGGGCACAGAGTTCTCTGAGGTGCAACCATTGATTCAGGCTTGTGTTAAGTTGGCTTCATCTAGTACCCCTGAAAGCAGGGATGACTTTCTTCCACCATTCAGTGTAGATCAAATAGAATCACTGGTATGGTTGTTGGAGGATGATCCGGATTGCTTCTGGGAACATTATTCAGCATGTTCACCACATGTGCTAGTGGAGTGTATAAACGCAGTGCAGTCTTTGGTCAGACAGGCTATGTGTAGGCTGAGTTTTGTTTAACCAATACTACAGTCCTGGTCAGACTTGTTACACCCAGCCTCAGTCAGCTTGCAACAAACCCGTCCTGCTTCTAATCAGTCCTCTGCTCAAAGCTCTATTCCTGCATTCCCGACAGCACCCCCAGTGACAGCCCAATATACCCTGCTATCTACCACATGTCAGTACCCCGTTCCCACTCGCTGCACCTATCCTGCCTTTAACCCTGTAAAAAAGGCCGCTGTAACAACTATTCCCTCCTCTGTTCCACCCTCCAGCTCTTCTCTGTCCCAAGCTACTCCATCCATTTACAGACCTGCATTTACTTGCAGTGCCCCAGTAACTAAACCCAAAAAGAAGCAAAAATTCTTTCCAACCAGTACCATCCTACCAGTATCCAAACCGGTCAGCCTGCTGTCTGAGAATCCGCCTTCCGTTGTTCAGCCTGATGCCCTGATGCCTGATGACCCAGTGTACGCTACCCAGCCTGATGACCCGATCCGGCCTGATGGCCCGATCTGGCCTGATGATCCTACCCGGCCTGATGATCCTACCCAGCTTGATGATCCTATCCAGCGTGATGACCTGGTACCCGCTACCCAGCCTGATGTCTCGATCCAGCCTGATGGCCCGATCCAGCCTGATGACCCGATCCAGCCTGATGACCCAGTGTTCATGATCCAGCCTGATGACCCGATCCAGCCTGATGACCCGATCCAGCCTGATGACCCGGTGTTCGTGATCCAGCCTGATGACCCAATCCAGCCTGATGATGACCTGATCCAGCTTGATGACCTGGTGCCCGCTACCCAGCCTGATGACCCGCTACCCAGCCTGATGGCCCGCTACAGCCTGATGGCCCGATCCAGTCTGATGACCCGGTGTTCGTGATCCAGCCTGATGACCCGGTCCACCTGGTGCCTCGGTGCCCATGGTCCGGCTTGGTGCCTCGTGGTCCAGCCTGGTGACTCGGTGCCCGCTGTCGTGCTAGGTGACTCGTTGCCCGCTGTCGTGCCAGATGACTCGTTGCCCGCTGTCGTGCCAGATGACTCGGTGCCCGCTGTCGAGCTTGGTGACTTGGTGCCCACTGACCTGCCAGATGACTCGGTGCCCGCTGTCCTGCCTGGTGACCCGGTGCCCGCTGTCGTGCCAGGTGACCCGGTGCCTGCTGACTTGCCAGGTGACCCGGTGCCCGCTGACTTGCCAGATGACTCAGTGCCCGCTGTCGTGCCAGATGACTCGGTGCCCGCTGTCGAGCCTGGTGACTCGGTCGGTGCCCACTGTCGTGCCAGGGGACTCGGTGCCCGCTGTCGTGCCAGGGGACTCGATGCCCGCTGTCATGCCAGGGGACCCGGTGCCCGCTTCTCAGCCTGATGTGTCTCTGTCCGCTGCCCAGCCTGATGTGCCTCTTTTCGCTGCCCAGCCTGATGTGCCTCTTTTCGCTGCCCAGCCTGATGTGCATCTGTCCGCTGCCCAGCCTGATGTGCCTCTGTCCGCTGCCCAGCCTGATGTGCCTCTGTCCGCTGCCCAGCCTGATGTGCCTCTGTCCGCTGCCCAGCCTGATGTGCCTCTGTCCGCTGCCCAGCCTGATGTGCCTCTGTCCGCTGCCCAGCCTGATGTGCCTCTGTCCGCTGCCCAGCCTGATGTGCCTCTGTCCGCTGCCCAGCCTGATGTGCCTCTGTCCGCTGCCCAGCCTGATGTGCCTCTGTCCGCTGCCCAGCCTGATGTGCCTCTGTCCGCTGCCCAGCCTGATGTGCCTCTGTCCGCTGCCCAGCCTGATGTGCCTCCGCTCGCTGCCCAGCCCGATCTGCCAGCCAATAACTGATTCCCAGCCTGCTCTGGGAGATCCTGTGTCCAGTAACCTGCCTTCCTGGGTTCTCCTACACAAGGAGAAGTCTACCAGTAGGATATCCAACCAGTTACCTGACCCAGGCGGTGGAACATTTTGCCCACTAAGGACTGTTTGGAGCGTCCTGAGGCCGCTCCTTGAGGGGGGGGGTACTGTCAGGAATGGACTCACCATTAGTGGTGGGACTCATCTGCCGTGTGGGCTGCAGTACCAGGGCTGGCCAGCGGGTGCTCTCAGCAACCAGAAGCTCACTCCTGCAATCAGCCATCACCTGAGGCTGATTGCAGGAAGTGTATTTAAGGAATGGCCAGACCTGCAGTCAGTGCCTTGGTGTATGTTTCCCATGAGCCACTGTACCTGCATTCTGTCTGATCCTGACTCTGCTTTGATCCTGACTCTGAACGAACTCCACCTGTCCTGACCTCGGCTATTCCTGACCACTCTTCCACTCGCTCCTGGTACCCGGTTTGCCCGTTTACTACTGACCCGGCCTGCCCAACTACATTTGATTTGTATATATGGTTATCTGTTGGAGGTTGGGTTGTTTGCACTGTGTTATGTTTACCTTGCACTGCGTTTGTGTTGTTTAGTCTTAATAAATTGTCTTATTTACACTATACCTGAAGCCTGCGTTTCCCTGTGTCAGTCCACACACCTCTGGTCATACCCGGAGCCCTGACACATGGTTATCTTGGATCAATAAGGGCTTTGTACTTCATTACAATTTTAATTTCTCAGTTGGTTGACTTATGTCAAATGATTTAAATATTTGTGTATATTTATTGAAGTGTTATTTTGTGTCATATTTTCACTTTGCTATTGTGTTTTATAATTCTTTTTTTTTTTTTTTTTTTTGCACTGTTTTTATTTGTCATTGACTCAATGGATATAGTTGATGTCATTATGCAGATATGGCATTGTTAGGTGCAGCATGTGGGGAACTGTGAGACTAGTTCTACATCAGAACCGTCTACCTGGTAATTGACAACATAGGGAAGTGGACAGATTTGAAACTCAACATTGGACAGATTTGATTATGGATCCACCCCCTGCCATGTGCTGTAAATCAACAGCCAGGCATATCTGATGGTGAACTAGTCTCCCAGTTACCCTTCAGGCTCTCCCCATCCTTAGTACAATTCCTTGGCCATGAGCCTGTCAATGAGATGGGAGGGCAGAACACTATTGGTGCTGCACTCCAACTAAATTCTAAAGGGTGTTGTAGAGTATGTTTTTCCTCAGCTAATAATGTAAAATAAATTATAAATCTAGTATGCACTATACAAAATGACCAACTCATACAATGAATCAGTTAAAATGCCATACATGGGTTGACACCACATTTTACATTAATCTGATCCAGATCGGTTTATTAAGCAATTTGTATCCAATAGTCTACTCCCCCCCAAGCAGATGGCGCTCCCTTTTGCTCCAATAGTGCAGGACTATGGACCCTAGATTAGTCTTTATGCTGTCAGAACCATAGATATCTGGAGCATGGGGTAGAAAATGCTGCAGGGACCAGTCTAGCAGTGCGGAGGAGTGAAGCATCAGTAAGTAAATCTATTTTTCTATGACCCCCAGAAATAAATTTCAAGTATTCTGGAATTTGGCTTTAATTATACTACAACACCGAAAGAATTTTACTTCTGTTCGCTAAGTGGAAAAACATAAAAACCCTTTGATTCTTCATGAAATCCTGTTAGCTGATCTTGTCAACTTCCGTTACTTTCAGCATGTGCTTCACTCTTGTCAGCTACATTGATTCCAACTATCTCCAAAGACTAAAAGCCACTCTCCTCTATTTGATGGAGAAGAAATGAGAATGTTGTTGTAGTTCTATCCTAGGTTGATAACTTTGCTTCTGCATACTGTATATACAGTGCAGTGAATGAGAATAGGACTGGAAGTGTGTTACTAGTTGAATCACCAGGTGATACTATTAAAGAAAGAACTAATGCCGCTTCTTCTCCTCTGTTTTCACCTGGGGATCTGACCAGTAACACCTCCTGTGTTAGAGTGCCTCCACTCTGGATGAAGGAGCACCAGGGGCACAGCAAACAACAGCATTGTCAGTCTGGGAGGGGGGGAGTAATGTAAAACGTACTAGCAGATTTAGATGCACTAACAAATTGAAGCTAAATTTCAGCTCACACTTTATAATCAGTTTAAGCTATTTTTTTTCCTTTTAGGATAAGGGTTTTACATGAAAAATAAAAGCTGATCATTGTAAGCAGTCAGTGTCAGTGTTAATTGGTTTGTCTGATCCCTGTAAACTGATACATTTGGAAGAGAGGTTATTCTATTGAAAAACAACAGACCTAAAAATTGGATCACCAGATGAAAATAGAAGAAAGAAAGCCTAAAAAAGAAAAACAATGCAGCTATCACATCTAAGCATTGGTAAGCTGTAAAATAATAAATGTTACTGCTACTCCTGACTCTTGCCATTTGAGATGTCATTCTTAAAAGTTGTTACCTACAACATTTTAGATGACTCATGCATAAAGTAGATGAAAAAAGATGTAATTGCATCATTAACAGTATTCTGGATTACACAAATAAGCTACAAATTTTGTTAAACATGCTAATTGCTTTAATTGGTAATAAGGGAAAAATATTGAACATCATTTTAGAAACAAAATTGCAAATTACTGAGCAGAAGTTTACTAGAATTACATGTTTTCTGCAATAGTGTAATGATTATGGAACAGGAGCCCTAAACATGCAGCTTTAAGTGGTGCAGGTTTAAACATGCAGCTGTAAGTGAGCACATACACATGAATATATGTAAACATTGGAAATATAAAATAAGCAATAAAATGGACAACCAAACTAAAATAAAAGTCAAAACAGCAAGCAAACAGAGAAGAAGCTATTGATAACACAAATATCTGAAATACTATACAAATACAGGGGAAACAGAGAAAAAAAACTATATACTAAATTTCATAGGACATGAGTAAATATGCAATACACCCAATAGATTTTCTTTTGTTCAGCCTGTGGGCTGAACAAAAGAGAACAAATGCACTTCTCCATCTACACTAAACAGCGCAGATGGATGAATCTTTCACAGCGGTTATATTATCAGATACTGCCAGGTGTCAGAATACCAAAGTGCACCCTCATCTGATTGAATGCAGCTGCTGTTCAGCTGACAATTTTCCACCTGGCTTCTTTAATTTTTTTAATCACAGGATGTCAGGCGGAGTGGTACCAACAGGGCTACCCATTGTTTGCCAGGTTCAGGGCAGGGAAAAATAATGGCATTTTAAGTGCCACCCCATTGCTAAGAAGTCCAGATACAACTTTATTCCAATAATAGTCAAGGAGAAAATAAAAAAATAGTCAAGGTGTTTTGGAATCCATGAGTGCTCCCTTAATCAGGGCTAGAAAAAGATAAGGATATCTCCATTTCAATACAATATCTATACAATATCCCCTCCTTGGGGTCATATTTAAAACCAAATACTCAAAAGCCAATGGTATTGAATGTATAAAAAATTAATGTCAGGTAACATTAAATAGTTAATCAATATGCAAAAACATTAGGCAAATTTGAGAACATGAATAATAAACCATAACATTTCAGTTCATCAATAGGGCAAAAGCAATAAGAATAAAATATGATATAATAATAATAATACATTCTGATTAAAATAAGGAACTAATTGGAAAAAGATACAAATAAGTAAAATATATCCAAAAACTGATATATAATAAGAAGGGAAAGGCAGGAAAAAGCAGTAAAAAATATAGGGTTGAAGAAGTAACAGAAGGCCAGGGCAAAAGATGTTAAGGTGCCTAGCTGAAAAAAAGATGTATAATTATAACCTCCAAACAACCAGTCCAAGTGATACATAACATAAACTTCACACTTGCCCATGAGCCAATAGATACATGCTATGGTGTCCAAATGCGTACTGCTATTGACAGAAAAGATTATAGTGGATTGGATTAGATTATTGCTTCTTTAGACAACTAGCCATTTGTGTCAGAAAAAATATAGCTTTTCAGTCTGGAACTTATTTAACTACAATTATAGCCGTGTTATTTTTGCACTAGACATACTTACTAGAACTATAAGTGATTCCTCAGTCCTGTGCTCCCATTTCAATCTCAGCTTCCCTCTTATTAAACACAGAAAGTCTGAAGGGAAATGTTAATATTTTCCTATCTGTTCACGCTAAAAAGTACCATGTGGGAATGCCATTACAAGCATTTTAGACACACATCCCATTAATCACTATGATAGGAAGACAATGGTTGAGACAGCTTAGCAATGTTTATTATCCAATGGACTGAACACTTATTTCCTTGTACTGTCTTTATTAACTGTCTTTTAACAGGGAGGCACATTTTGATGTTTAACACTTTATCTATGTTTTGGCATGAATAGAAAAAGTGCTATATACAGGAATAGAAAAGTGTTATATACATCTGCACAGTGCAGACTTTTGTTCATGGTATGTATTGCAGTATGCTAACCTTGGCTAGTCTTTCTTCACATAAATATTATTTTACTGCTACCATTCACTTGTTAAGAGTAAATTTAAATTGGCCTTATTTACATTTATACATTTTATTTAATAAAACAGAAAGTGCTCTGTCTGTCATTCTTTTGGCTTAAATAAAAAAAACTGAAATAAAATTGATTGTCATTTTATATAATAATTTTAGTGTGAAAAGTCATATTTTTCCATTCTTAAGAATATACTGTACATGTGATGCTTAAACATTTACACACATATTTCAAGTTTGGTGCTATCTATGTAAGAGATTTTCCTCTTGTTGGGAGAATAGGGATAATAAAGAATTAAAATCAAGGGAAGGGTTAACCAGAACTCTTCCAATTGTAAATAAAAAGCATAAAGCATATGGAACTTTAATGAAAAATCTGATCTGAAATGAACACTGACCCTAGATAAATAGTAGAAGTATTATAAATAAATAGATACATACAGTATAAAATATACTTCTATTTAAAAAAATAAAATAAAAAAAAATATATATATATATATATATATACACACACACACATACAGAGTATATATAAAATAAATCTCCCACAGGGGATTGGTTCCCCCGAAATTAGTCCCTATGTAGGAGTAATGTCAGCAATGGGTAGATCTGAAGGGACCTGGTGTGATGTTGGGCCCACCCAGACTGAGGTTTATTTTATTTTATATACCTTTTTTATTTCCTCCTTGGCAGTCAGCAGGGTAAGGAAGTAACCAAGAGAAGACCCCTGCCCGCACTTGTGTGACGATCTATCTAAGAGATACACATATTCCTTGCACACTTGACTTATTTCCTTGTGACTGCATTTCAATTACCTAATAAATTGACATAGGTTTTAAATTCCAATACATTTTTATTAGAAAATCCGTACACAATTGAAAAACACTTACAATTTTTAGGTACAAATGACGTTGATCCGAAGTTGTACAAGAGTACAGTTGTACCTTTAAATAAAATTACATGCATATAATAAATAATAAAAGTACTCATGCTCTTATGGATGTGCCATAATTAATAAAACAAAGTAAACTTTTTGAAGCAGTCTTATACTTGTGTTAAAATATCACAAAAATGAAATAGAAAAAACAAATGGACCGCGGATAATCATAAACATGTGCATATATTCAACGTATCATAAACCAGCCCCATGTTAGTGAAACAAGTGCATATGCTTGTGCTCGACTTATATTCGATATGCTGATTAATGGATCATCTCCAAAAAATGTGCTCCACTGTACTCAACAAAAGTGCCCTACATGGACTGACACTCACCCTTATCCAATGACCATCTATCTCTAGAATGGTCCTTAATGCTTGCGGGACATTCCCAGTAAGCCAGTTGTCTCCAGATCCTTAGCCTGTGACCATCTATCTTTGGGTGGTCCGTGTCATTTAAAGGACAATTTTCAAAGAGCCAGCTATCTCCACATCTTCGCACATAGTTACATAGTTAGTCTGGCTGAAAAAAGACGAAAGTTTAACCATTAAAAAAAAAAGTTATAATCTTACACCCACAGTTGATCCAAAGGAAGGCAAAAAACCCCAGCAAAGCATGATCCAATTTGCCCCTGCTGGGAAAAAAATTCCTTCCTGATCCCCCGAGAGGCAATCAGATATTCCCTGGATCAACTTTACCTATAAATGTTAGTATCTGGAGTGGCCCAACACTCCAAAATATGCAGTTAATACATACAATAGGTTTAAAAACGCTAGAAGGGCATCAATCCTATTCACCTGGAGGATATGCTAATAACCAATCCTATTCACCCAAAGGTATTGGGTATGTCCCCTATTCACGGCCATGGAGAGGAAGAAATAGGGGCAGGGGGAAAGGTAGAAATCCCAATTATTCAAATAATTTTCAGAAAGGGGGGATGGGAAAACTATATCACCATATACAAAGGAAAAGAAGGGGACATCCCATAGTGTAAAACTGTTTGATAATTTTATTGGAGGTACCTTATAAAACAATATACTCACAAAAGAAGTGCCTATGCCCGGCACCTGGTGTACTCAGCCTTGTTACTGCTCAATATGGAAGCCGCTGTATTGATCGCTCCTCGGAGCGGCGTGCGTTCCACAGGACAGATGTGATGTTGGTGGAAGTTGTGTCATCAAACCTCGACGCATTTCCATCACTGTTTACTGCGTTGCAGGTATGCATTTATTTAATTATGTACAGAGCAGGAGTGTGTCAGCTAAAGATTTCTTTGGGAATATAGATGTAACACAGAGCACAGATTTGGAGAATTGTTTTAAACAGTTGAAACATTTAATGGATAATCAAATTCGCACATGGTGGAATATTCTCTCCTTGGAACAATACCAAGCAGAACGTTTAACGCCTAGAAGCCTGAGGTGGGACTTGGAACCTAATGACAGTCTTATGGACCCAGAATTAATGGAGGAATGGAAAACATTTTTTGGTCAATGTGAACTGAAATTGTTGGGTATCATTGTCCAAAGGAGGAAAATTGACTACTGTTGGACAACAAATAGAGGATATTAAGAATAAATTAACTCCTCATATGAATACAGCTGAGTATAAAGATAGAGATAAAGAAAAACAGCTGCAAGAAATAGTAGTGACATTGGAGAATGATACCAAAACAAAGAAATTAGAGAAATATATAAGAGATAAAAAAGATTATGCAGATAATAAGATCTATAAATGGCAGGAGGATCTAGTGAAAAACATACTCTCCAAGATTTCCCTAGAGGAAGAAATGTGACACAAGAGAGCTTCACTAAAATTCAACAAAGAAATGTTGATCCTCATACCCTGCAGACAAATAAGAGGGGGCCAATACAACAGTGGCCCAACACTCCAAAATATGCGGTTAATACATACAATAAGTTTAAACCGCTAGAAGGGCATCAATCCTATTCACCTGGAGGATATGCTAATTCACGGCCGTAGAGAGGAAAAAATAGGGGCAGGGGGAATGGTAGAAATCCCAATTATTCAAATAATTTTCAGAAAGGGGGGGAATGGAGAGAATGGCAGGAACCATACAAATTACACCCATCACAACAATGGGCACCCACCAACAAGGGAGACAAAAGACAGGCAAGAGAGGAACCAGAGGGGGGATTAAAAAGAAAAAGAAAGAATTAAGGAAAGGTATTTTTAACCTCAGTGCTGTGGAATTGACTAAGGAAGAATTGTTAGTTTTGGACCAGGGGCTTAAGTATGCACCCACAAATCTACATAGTGGACTTCACAATAAATCCACATTTAACCCTAAATCCTCTACACAACATTACTTAGAGGTCTTTAAAAAGATGATTGAAGAGGATATTAAGAGTATGCCTGTTAACAAACATGCTTCAGATAAAATAATATGGCAAAGCATTAAAAATATAGAAAAAAGGAACAATATAGTGATCCGTCCAGTGGATAAAGGAGGGGGAGTAGTCATTTTAAATAAAAGAAACTATGAAGCAGAGATGATGAGACTGATTAGTGATGAACACACTTATAAAAAGTTGAAGGGGGACCCTAGTAAAGTTTAAAAAAATCTGATTGATAAAGGTGCTAAGTCTAAGAATCTGGATAAAAAAAAGAACATAGCATATACACCCAACAAGGATTAGCGACATATTGGTACATCACTGGACTTTGAGTGGTTATACCAGGATGAGGTCTGCAGCTGCAGGCATCATCCTGGTATCATTTTTTTCAGCTGGGGATCGGCTTTCATGTAAAAGCAATCCTAGTGGCTAATTAGCTACAGGATTGCTTTTACAAGCAGTAGGAGAAAATGTCCTTCTCGAGCAGTCCTGTGCCATCAGGAGAACCTGAGAATGCAGGCAGTGTTTCTGTCAGCTGACCATAGAGCTGATTGGAGACTGGAATGGTGCCAATCATCTCTATAGTCTAAGAAATCGGAAGCTACGAGCATTTCATCACTTCAGTTTAGCAGGATATAAACAGCGCCATTTATAAATTGGGAAAGCATCTGATCACATCGATCTTGGTGTGATTAGATAATGTAAGGGCAGGGAAGATATCTAGAGTATGATAGACCCTAGATTGTAAAAAAAAAAGAATATGACAATGCCCATTGAAGTTACAGTATAGGGGATATTTGTATTCCCTGTGATAGCATTAAAAGTGATAAAACAAATGAAAATGACAGTGTAAAAATAATTTAAAAAAAAAAAAAAAAAAAAAAAAAAGCACCCTTGCCCCCCCTTCCCCCTATGGGTTACCTATGGATATTTAAAAATGTATGCAGTTTATTGCCATTGCACGGGGCATGCGCAGTTTTAAAGCATGTCAAGTTTGGTATCTATTTATTCTGCATACCATCATCTTTTATATTTTACCAAATAATTGCCTAATATATTGTGTGTTTGTGCATTGAAAGTATAAAAAGTGTATTTTTTTCAAAGAATTTGCGTTTGAAAAATCACTGCACGAGTACTATGTGAAATAAAAAATTGCAGCACCCACAATTTTATTCACTAGGGTGTCTGCTTTAAAAAAATATAATGTTTGGGGGTTCAAAGTAATTTCCTAGAAAAAAATACTGAATTTTTTCATGTGAACAAAATGTCAGAAAATGCTTGGTCTTCAGGTGGTTAGAAGAGTGAGTGATGTGTGGCATAAACTTCTAATGCTGGGCATAAAATTCCCCTACCCCTCAAAATGACCCCTTTTTGGAAAGTAGACACCCCAAACTATTTGCTGAGAGGCATGTTGAGTCAATAGAAGAATTTATTTTTTTACCACAAGTTTTTGGAAAATGACAAAAAACATTTTTTTTTTACACAAAATTCTCACTTATGCCATAGGTGAATGTGGAATTACTCCACAAAATCACAGTTTCCACGAAATCACAGTATCACAGTTTAGGAGGCCCTGAAATACCAGGATAGCACCAAACCCCCCCAATGACCCCTTTTTGGAAAGTAGACACCCCAAGGAATTTGATAAGACGCATGGAGAGTATTTTGGAGATCTTGTTTGTTGTCACAAGTTTTTGGAAAATGAAGAAAGAAAACAAAAACATTTTTTCTTTTTTCTTTTTTTATATTTCAAAACCTAGTGAGAAAAAATGAGATGTGTAAAATACTCACCATGCCTCTTTTTAAATTCCTTAGGGTGTCTACTTTCCAAAAAGGGGACATTTTGAGGGGTTTAGTGCTATCCTGGCATTTCCAGGCCTCCAAAACTGTGATAGGTAGTGAGGAAGTGAAATGAGGAAGTTACGCACCTTTAGGCTTTCAAAGTGGTCATTGGATTTCAGGCTCCAGTATGTGGCTAGGCTCCCAAAAAGTCTCACACATGGTACCCCCATACTCGGTAGAAGTAGCAGAATGTATTTTGGAGTGTAATTCCACATATACCCATGTGTGAGCAATATAACCTTTAAGTGACAACTTTGTGTAAAAAAATAAAAAAAAAAATTCTTGTCATTTTCCAAAAACTTGTAGGAAAAAAATTAATATTCAATGGACTCAATATGCTTCGCAGCATATAGCTTAGGGTGTCTACTTCCTGAAAAGGGGTCATTTGGGGGTGTTTGTACTATCCTGGTATTTTAGCACATCAAGAAATGTGATGGCCAGTCAGAAAGTAAAAGCTGTGTAAATTCCATTATCTACAGTTGTGACCAAAATTATTCAACCCCCACTGAAATTGAGTGTTTTGGCCAGTTTG